GAATTCCAGGGTTGCTCAGGATTGCTTCTTACTCTTAAGGACAATTGGAACTATTAAAAGCAAGAAAATGAATGAGTAAGTAAATAGATACAACAGATATAATGATGTTGGTTTAAATGCAGCAATTTTAAACTAAGCGTGTAAAATTATTCTTGGACTTTTTCAGAACAAACTTGAACAAAATTTCTGGCAGTTAGCATACCCCGGTATAATGACACGCCTTTTTCTACCTTGGTTTTCAACAATACCAGGGTGCAAAGAAAATCATTTCTACAGCTTGCCATTCAGGCAAGCTGAAGCTAGCATTTACTAGCCCAAACGTCGTTTCAACTAGCCCCAAAAGCTTTTTGACGAGCAGAATTGATTTCACAGTTCTTCTTCAATTTGAATTCCTCAAAAAACATCATTTGCCTGTCGGGCAAGTTAAGAACAGAATTCACTAGCCTGATAGCAAAATCCACTAGTCTCGGGCTAACTGTCAGTGTTGTAGATAAAGTCAGTATTCAGCACATTAGGTCATGCTGAAGGTACAGTAAGAAAGTAAAACTTAACATTAACTACGAAGCCCCGTAAAAGGTTTATGAATCTTAAAATATTGAAACAAAAATGGATCAACCACCATGCAAGGTTTGTACAATATTATTATTACAGCAAATAATAACTTACCTATTATAATAATGAGAATTATGATAAAAATAAAAGCTAGGATCAGCTTGAACTAAAACAAAGAGAAAAAAAGAAACAAAAGAAGGAAAGACCATGCATTAGGAATTGGCAATGAACTACAAACAGGCCTCAACACATGTAGAATGATGTCCTCAGTTTTTCTGACAGTATTAACAAACGACATTCTTTGCCCCAGTTGAGTACAGTAAAGCTCTATCCAATCAAGTCCTCTTTAAAACAAACAATATTCTTCTCCCAGTACAGTGGAATGGATTTAACGATCTCTTTAAACAAGGTCCTTTGTATAACACAGTCAACTTTCTTTGCCTCAGTAAACCTGTTATAGCAACACATTTTGCCAGTTTCACGACCCTTACATGTACATGCAGTGGTATTGAGGTTACAGTATATGCAAGGATTCACAGTTTTATATTAAAGCTTCAAAATATTACAGATTTTAACTTTAAAGCTAAACAGTATTAAGTATGTGGAAAGAGCAAAGCCATGGTTATTAGCCTCCCTCTATGGTACTTGCAAAGGTAAAGAATACAAACAGCTTTCACTTACTCTGAAATTTTGCCACCATAGCTTTCTCTGTAATCTTCTTGATCCTGCTCTGAAGTGTGATGCACTCATCTCAAGATCCTCTAACGGAATAAACACAACAATTACAATTAATTTAGTGCTAAATTGATAACCACAGTCTATTTCCACAAAATCCTTCTTTTTGTCCCTGTCCCTTCTTAACCCATTCGCCCCTGAACCGCCTGTAATCGCCCGTGCGGATCCACGTCCTTTCTACCCTTTGTGACATCATCAGTTTTAATGGTCAAGGACAACTTTGTCCACCAACTAGTGCAGAGTGAAGAGATCTTTCAAACCATACCAGAATGAGCACAATTCAGTCAAGGCACTGGAGAAAGAAGCAAAAAACCATGTGACATTGACCTGAAAATCTCCATGGAAATCTTGTTCCATTGCTCACCTACGTTTCCTTTCACCTAATCCTAAGATCCTAAAAGCTTTCCTAAAACCTCTTCCCACCAAAACGAAGCCTACTAAATGCCCAGCAAGAGAAAAAAAAATGAAGCAAGAAAAGCAAAAAAAGAGGGGAGGAGAGAAAGCAAAAAGTAAAAGTCATGACTGCTGTGTCACTTTTAAACCCAAAAACTATCTCAAAATTTTGCTTTCTGTCAATGCCCGCACTTCGCAAGCTTATATTTTGCATCTGGATCAGAAGGCCGCAAAGTGTACGACCTGTAAACCAGTTTGTGGTAAGTTTTAACTCTTTATAGCACGACAGTGACCAGAAAACCACTTGACTAGCTTCAAAACGCGTTTTTCGGCAAAATCTCCAGGAGCGAATGGGTTAATTAAATAATATTATTATTGATCCCAAAATTAATTTTTAAGTCTATTCATGTGCAATGATCACACTAACATACAGTAGTACATTTGTTTAATAATATAAAATACAGAAGAACCTCGATAGCTCGAACTCAGATAACTCGAACCTCCCACTTACTCAAACCAAGTCCCATTTCCCTTGGATTTCATCCCACTTTTCAGTCATTTTTACCCACGACAGTTAATTCAAACTTGGATAACCTGAACTAAATTTCCTTTCGGAATTCCCAAAATTTCACTGAAATTTACCCTGATAACTCGATTTCTTGTTTTTGTTACTCCATTCCACTAATGTTATTCATTATTCATTATTCTTTTTGGCTTAAATCCCTGGCTAATTTTTCATAACCAGCCCAGCTGGGAAGATGTGATCTACATAAACTGTGCCTCTAATAAGTGATTACTTGTTATCAACCCGGCACATTGTTGACGGCATACCTGATTTGTCTTGTAAATCCTCTAACTTTGCCCCCCTATCAAGCACTTTGGAGATGTTATTTTGCATTATTCCCATGACACCTTTTATTTCTGACTTCACCTTGGCAATACCACCCTTCATTGTGGGCTGAGGTTTAATGTGATGAAATTCATCTGGCGCTGCAAATCTTGGTTAAAAACAAAAAAAAAAAAGCACAGATCTAAAACTCCTGAACACCTTTTGATCTGTCCTGAACAGGTTTTGTTACAATCCAACAAACATTAAATATTTCCTATTTGAAAAAGCTGATCCCATCTTAAGCTGATACAGTCAAACCTCCACAAACAGCCACCTCTCCACAACGGCCACGTCTCTACAACGCTCATTTTTTTTGGCTGATAATCCATGCATGTACATTCACTCTTGTTTCAAGGTGGCTGTTGTAGAGAGGTTCAACTGTAATTATGACGTGAGGTCATCAATGGTGTGGCATAATTATCATGCTAATGGTCTAAATTGCATGGTACACTATACACATAATTTGTACATATACATAACAACACTTCCAGAAAAAAAAATTCAAAAATTGAGGTCTTTTCCTTTGCAACAGTATGGAGAATAAATTTAATTTCACTTCCCCACAAAAGACTTGAATAAAAACAAACTTACATGTTCGATCCATCTTCATCATCTGAATCATCAAGCAAACTGGCCTGAAGTGAAAAAAAAACCCAGTCAGTATGAAGTTAACCTTCTGTTGAAGGATTATAGTGGAAAAAAGTTTGAATGTTAATCATATCTTGAATATGAGAAAAAGTAAAAAAATGAGCCCCAGATACTGGTTGGATGGTCTAACTTCAAAGACACATGGTACAATGCACAGTAAAGAGACAAAAGGCATTTTACTAAGCTTTGTTGTAACATATATTCTGCAACTGGCAAACTTTGTGCCATGGCACGTTACACTGTAGCTCTGTTAATAGACTGAACGGTGGCCTAAAGAGCAGTAGGTGGTCACAGGATGAATGATACCCCAAGGCTAGTCCAATCAGGGTGCAAAGAAAATCATTTTTGCAGCTTGCCATTCGGGCAAGCTAAAGCTAGCACTTACTAGCCCAGATGTCATTTTAACTAGGTCCCAAAATTTTTTGATGGGCAGAATTGATTTCACAGTTCTTCTGTTATTTGAATTCCTAAAAAAACATCACTTGCCCGTCGGGCAAGTTAAAAACAGAATTCACTAGCCCGATAGCAATATTCACGAGCCCCAGGCTATCAGACACTACTTTCTTTGCACGCTGCCAATACTCAGAGTCTTACAATAAATAAGCAACAAACTAAGGCTAGTCCTTAGCATAGCTCAGATGACCAAAAAGATGGTCTCATCTTAGAACTGTTGTTGTTTATTTTTGTTTTTCTTGTGTGATCAATACAGGGATCATGAAAAAAAGTAATGAGTAAGATGTCCTTTAACTGGTATCACATGGCAGACAATAATGCTAGCATAGTATATACTGTATAAATATAATAATAAATCAGTACTTTCAATTCTCAGTATTATTATGTATAAATGTATATCAAATAAATTGCATAAAATCACATAATGCAATTTTACACAGCTTCATTCCAACTGTATTCTGTTCAGAAGAAAAAACAGGCAAGAGATTGCCCATGTGAAAAGAGGTTATATTTTCTACAACACAAGGGCAAAGATCTAATTGATCATAATAAATTAAGTTTATATGTAATAGAATTTTGGTCCAACTTTATAAGCTTACCCTTTCTGATGGCCTCGCAGAATTTCTGTCGTCCCCATTAAGTCGGCTAAATTTTGGAGGCATGATACTTGTTTTAAAAAAAACAAAATCAAGTCCATGTAATTCGCATCACCTCAGAACCCATCCGCTCAATTTCAAAACCATGATGAGTTGTTCTTAATATTAAAACTCTTTGTTTACACGTGGCACACTGCACAAGAAATTTACGCAATCTTTGAGTTCGCAAAAGAAGCGTTCTCCCCCAAAAAATTATTAAGAAGGCTTTCCTTTGCTTTCTAATCTTCTCGGTAGAATGACTTGCTCTGTTGAAGAAAAATTGAATTCTATCACTGAAAAAATCTTATGACCCACAGTGAGACAAACGAGCTCAGCAGCCTCTCCTTGACAACGTCATTAATCGGGGAGGGGCAGGGGAGGGGATACTTGAGAGAACATTGTGCTCTTCCAATTTTTGAAGTTTTCATCAGTTTCAGTATCCTTCAACTACGACATTTTGGGAGTATATCTTTTAAAATTATTATTTTTCAGCTTCGGTTCGTATATTTTCCAAGTTTTACTACAACTAGCTGGAAAATAATCACTTGATTTCACAGGTCCCTGGCTGGTATGAAGTGTAAAGCAGCTCTTCTTCATCGCGGGCTCATATTCGATATTCTTCAATTTCGATTCCGCATGCTCGCGAACTGCTCGCCGGTTCTGCAGGAAAAATTGCGCGTGTTGTTTACTAGGAAATGGAAATGGCTAAACTGGAAAGTGTGGGGAACAAGGGCAGTGATGTAAAGGAAAAAATTTATTCCAACCATCAACTCCAGAAGGAAAAAGATGATGTGGCTAAAACAAGTGAAAAGAGTAGCAAGGGTTTGATGGAGAACCTCTACAATTTAGACATCTCGTTGTCTGAGAGTTTCAGCTTCTGTGCAGCGAAAGATTCTGGTTATTGGAGAACACTTATGTTGATTCTCGAGCTTTCAGGACATGGAGTACCTTGGATAGCAGGGACAATCATCTCTATTCTTGTGTTTTCGGATTCTAAGCAAGAGTTCGCGTGTAATTTATTTCTCGGTTTGATATTAGATCTTGCTGTGGTTGGAAATTTGAAAGTCTTAGTTCGAAGAAAGCGACCTACATATAACGAGGAGGATATGTTCGCAACAGTTTCACCAGATAAATATTCCTTTCCATCCGGACACTCAACAAGAGCTGCAATGGTTGCTTCTTTATTTTCTGTGTTCTTGACCACTAGATTTTGGACATTTCTGATTGGCTGCTGGGCTGTGTGTGTCTCATCGTCACGTGTTATACTTGGTAGACATCACGTGAGTGACGTGTTATGCGGTGTCCTCATTGGCCTTTTACAGGGCTGGGTTATTTGTGCCATATGGGTACCATACACAACTTGCCTGGAGTTACTGTCATGTATACCATATTATAGTGTTATAAGGAACCAAGTGATAAATGTAGTTCAATAGATAGTGAGGGTTCTGATTGTGATCAAAATCTTAGAAACAAACTGTATGCCCATTATAGGTGATGATTTTAACACCAGCGACCAAATCTCACGTTAAGGGGATGGAATGTAATTCTGTGACACAACGGGCTGGTATCGAATTACAGGAGACTGTTCAATATAGAAGACATTGTACGAGTATTAAACACTATGGTCTGTGACAATAAGTATCATTAAATTTTACTTACATTTGATGTACTCCTGGGCGTTCTGGTGTGAATTGATTAATAAAGTAAAAACTTGTGAAAATTGTGGGAAATAGTTTGTGTCCACCCTCTCTCACACCCCATAACTAAATAACTGAAATCAGTCATGAAAATTATTGCAATTGGGCCAAAGAAGGCAGGACAGATATTTGAAACACTTCGCTCTTCAATATGCAAGACCTCTGAAAAAAGATAGTTGACCCTCCTCCCCTCCCCTCCTCTTCCCAATCTTATCCCCCCATTCTTCTTCCTTTTGTTCATTAGTCTCTTTGACATGATGTAAGTAAGTTTTCTAAATACAGCAAGAGTACAAGTAGTGGTTCGGGTGGGGGGGGGGGGGGGGGGGGGGGGGGGAAGGGAATGCCCTTAAAAAGAAAAGGGGGGAAAAGTTGCCTGAAAAAATGTTAAAAAAAACGGGCTCACCACCCCGGGGTTTTTGCACCACTGTGAGGGGGGGGGAGAAACAAAAGGAGTGTTGAAAAAAAAAAAAATAAAACACTACAAAAAAAACATTGTCCCCCCCCCCCCCCCCCCCCCTCCCCCCATTTTTCCCCCCCTCCTTTTTTTCTTTTTTGTTTTTTTTTTTTTTTAAATATTTAAGATTTTTTTTTAAAAAAAAAGAAGGAAAAAGAGGGGGTGGGGGGGGGGGGGGGGGGGGGGGTGGGGGGGGGAAGTGAATGCCCTTAAACAGAAAAGAGGTCAAAGATTGCCTGAAAAACTGTTAAACTAATGCGGCTACACACACTGCAGTGTTTTGCAACCTGTAAGGTTGTGAGTGAACAAATCGAGTTTAGTCAATAAGCAACAAAGGAAAAGTAATCAGTAGTAGTGACAAAGGGGTCCTTAAAAAAGATTCTTTCTTCCCGATAAGTCTGTACAAACAATGATTATTTTATTTTTCTCATTTACAGCCTTCTGTACTAGGTAATAAAGAAAGCCTTTCCCGGGGAAGAGAAAGGAATTGGGAATAAATGGTCGTTTTCTTTACTGTTCTTAATCCCTCCAGCAAAAAGGAATAAGTCAGAAATCCTTAAATTTATTTCTACCTAATAAATTTGCCACTTTTGCATAAGAAGTCTTAATTAAAGCAAATCAGTATCATTTCAGAGCTCTTCTGTTGATAGTCCAGGATTGTTTCGCTTTCGTTTCATTCTCTGTCACAGTATACGGGACTTATCAAAAGTCGCATCTCGCTTGCCTTTCTCCAGACGTTCTTTCCGTCTCCCAGTTGAACTTCGTACCACTTAACGGACCTTCCAAAAATCCTATCAACTTTACCACGAGAAAACCCCATGCCATCTTGTGACGTCACAATGACTTCTGCTCCTGTTTTAATGTCATTCTCCTTTGATGTTTCGTCTTTTATTACGTAATGTTTCTCAGCTCTGGGAAGTTCCACGATATCGTTGACGCGTGCGTTGTGTTTACCCGAGGGGGTCACGTCAACACTTGTTTTACGAATTTTTGCGATGAAGCCGTGAAAATAGCGCGTAGGATTCTTGAGGGAATTCCAACGTGCTAACACCTCCGATCCGACGGTAAGACAGCCTAAAAAAATAAGAAAAAAAACCTTGTTTGACACCAGATCGTTTTTCTTCTATCAGGGGCTAGAGTGATGTCTTGAAAGTTCATCTACTGCGTCACCAATCTCGAACCGAGTGACCTCAGGAGAAGGCCAGGTTTTCCTGGTGACCACTCGCTGACTAAAGAGCCCCAGGACTCCGGGTGAGAGATTGGTGGGTCACAAACACGCGCGCACAAGAAAAAGCGGGAAGAACTCTGGAAAACAGTTTGGCTAAAAGACTAGTGTTAAGCATGGCCCAAGTGTTGAAAGTCCTTGCTTAAAAGGCCCACGTCCCAGCTTTTCAAAGCAACAAGAAGCAGGTACTCTACAATCTCCGCGGTCTAGCAAACTCTTATCCTTGCACACAGCCATCACACCAGGGTCCTTACCTGCATGACCGTGTAACATGACTGTGCGCACGTGTAAAGTGCTGATTAGACCGTGGAAATTTTGTAGCTCGGGCTTCATGTCTCTTAGTTTGTTGCTTTTGTTTTTTTCACGGGCATGTTTCCCATGCCTCTGCAGCCGGTGACAAAACAGAAAAAAGGGACTATTATTTTAATGCGGCGTAACAGTTTCTGGAGCCACCTTAAGCCGCGCTGCAGTCAACACTTAAGTGTTTTTTGGAAATATTAACATAACTGCAATAAAAGATCTGCGTCCTTATCAGCCTTTTCGCATCGTATTAAAACATCAGAAACTCATATTTGGAGGTAACTTTCCCTGCAAGAGTATTCTCGGACGTGAGAATAACTCTCTGTGCTTACTTCAGTAGCGCCAGCGATCGGTCCGCCATTTTTTAAATCTGTTAGATATGTCATAAAGCATCCATTTGTCGTGATACAAGTGTAATACTCAATAGACCTTTTTACCGATACGGCGGCCATATTGAATTAATTCGATTTGAGGAGTATTATGGGATGCCCAGGGGGCATGTGCACATTTCGTTTGTATTTTCGAGTGCTTTTCGGGACATTTCTTCTTAAAGTTTTCTTAGAATAAGATTTTAATGGGGAAAAAATCCTTGTGCCGTGTTTCGATGTAATAATGATCGCCTTCTTTCCGAGAAATATACAGTGAAAGACCATATTTCTACTACTAAACTAGAAAAAGGCGATCATTACTACATCCAAACACGGCACAAGGATCCTTTTTCCCATTTCAATCTTATTCTAAGAAAACTTTAAGAAAAAAATTTATGTCCCGAAAAGCGCTCGAAAATACCAACAAAATGTGCTCATACCCCCTGGGCATCCTATAATACTCCTTAAGTCGAATTAATTCAATGCGGCCGCCGTATCGGTAAAAAGGTCTATTAAGATAAACTTACTAGAATCAAAATAGCATCCGTATACTTCAGCTCTCAGGCAAACAGAGGACCCCATGAAGTCCTGTGAGATTTGATGGCGTAGTATTCTCAGTTGCTTGGTTACAAGTTGCTCTTTTATGAAATGTTTAACCACGGAGTTTCTGTTTCTATTACCTTGGAACACCTACATTTAATGAATACAAATTAGAAACTAGAAAAAAAGCACTTTGTGACTATTATATTATCTGTGGTACTGAAGGCTTTTAATCGGGAGGGAAAAACTTGTAGTCCACCCGTTTACCTGTCTTTAATTGCCCTCCCCCTCCCCTACCCCACTAAATTCCCTCGGAGTTTGTCTTTCGCGTTACCACCATATAACATGTTCACAGAATAAATCATATCAGAGTTAGTTTTCTATTTTCTTTGCCAGTGGCGCCACATGTTGTTCCTTGACAATACAGTGTCTACAGCCTCACCTCAGAATGGAAACTGGGCCTATCCCTCTCTGGATATTTGGTTGGAAAGTCTGCTAGCGCTGTTAATTTTAATTATATATTTTCGTTGGGAGCCGAACCGAATAACTAAGTTGTCAATACCTTATCACGGCCTGACTCCTGATAAGTAAGCCATTGTTTTCCAAGTGAGAATTGCAGCACATATTCAGCCATCCATTTGTATTCTTTTGGATGACCTTGAGTGGCTACAGCAGTAACTTCTGTTGTGCGGCCAAAATCAATCTATAATTGTAGCATTCCACAATACTCAGCTTATAAATCATCGAACACTGATAAAGCTAAGCATGGAAAAAAGTTACTCCAATTTTCTCTATAAAATAATAATAATAATAATAATAATAATAATAATAATAATAATAAACACAAAGCAAATACTTTAGTTGTAGCAACGATCTTTCTAAGCTCGGAATTCCACTGTACAGTATTATCATTAAAGATCCTTTACACATTTATCACGTCTTATTGATGTCGATGAAGGTGTTTTTGTTTATTTATTTATTTGTTTATTTGTTTTGAGAGAGCTCTGTTTGCAATAAATCGATCACTTTCGATATGGAACCAATTATTTCTCTCAGAAATAAATTTAGCAAAAAAAAAAAGGAATTCTAAGAACCTGGAAATATTTTGGCAAACTGCTTCTAGCCGAACACCAGGCGCGGTTGCCATAGAGACGGCCATATCTTGGGCTATGACGGGAATCCCTTGAGGAGGATGCAGACAGCTGGCTGCTGAATATCATTCTGTTTTTCAAACCAAGAGACGAATAACATCCTGTCAAAGAGACGAATTAGTGTTTTAGTTCTCAAGAAGCAGTTGATATATAAAACCGACTCAACAATCAAGGAAAATGAAATGCCGATCTTTTCAGTCCTGTGCGTGGCTATAGCTTGTATTTTAACAACACTAACGACAGAGATTTTGGAGACATGGAACATTCTCTTAGAGACCACTGACGAAACAAAAATATAGAAACTCATTTGCTATTGGAATTGCAAGATTGACTGCACGTAGGTCGAGTCCCCCGTTCTGTTTTTGGAGATTATGAACAAATTCTTGTTGAGCTAATAAGAATGGGACAACAAAATAGACAGACGCCTGTACCTATTGAGCCGATTATTAAAGTGGCTCGTTACAGTTAAAGTTTAACTGTAACGAGCCACTTTAATAATCGGCTCAATAGGTACAGGCGGCTGTCTATTTTGTTGTCCTATTCTTATTAGCTCAACAAGAATTTGTTGTTTGTTTGAATACAAAAATTCTTCTTGTTAGTCTCGTAATGTAGTAGATGGTCACTATAGTGACAACATAACGCAATTGAGACACTGCTATTATAGTTTGAAATGTGTATTAATCAAAAACCAAAATTTTTGCGTTTGTCCGCAAAGCAAAGCTTTGATTTTAGATCCTTTAACTCAAAAGTGCCATGAAAATAAAGGCCCAGTACAAACGGACTCAACGTTGTTGAATGTTACATGTTGGGTCCGTTTGCACACCATGTTGCATGTTGTTGCATGTTGTTGCATGTCGTTGGGCATGAAAACCATTAAACCTACGGAACAACTCCCAACATTGTTGGCCGTCCGTTTGCACGTAGCTATAAATGTAATTGAAATATGTTAACTTACTAATGCATTCAGGGACAGGATTGCTCCAATTTCCATGAATCTGGCATCTCGTTGTTTTGTGGCCACGAAGAGAGAATTGATAGTTACACTTATAGCGAACTGTATCACCAAAGAAATAATTGTTTTCAGACCTGAAAGCCACTTTACCGAAACTGGGCTCATCAGGAGTGGCGCATCTTTGCACTGAAAAAAAAAAAAAGAATGAAAGAGGAAAACGACATGAGAACATCCTAAGAAACGTTAGTAAACTGTATTTTCCTTAATCACCTAATTACCTACCCATGTTAAGGCAATGCATGTGAGGACTTTCCCCAGGGACTAAGAATACTGTCAAAACCGAGATGCCCGTTCTGGCTAAACTGGTCACTGTAAACAGGGTTTTCACAGTACGTTTTCGCTAATTTACCCTGGCTAATTCTAGTCAGTATCGAGTGGTCAATTGAATGCTTAGTTACTGCTCACAAATGAGACTTTTTTAACTTGCATTAAGTCAGAAAACGCATTTTGTTACCCTACCCTCCTTGATTTGCTGTCGCTATACGTTAGTGCCCGGATTTTGTGTAGTGTACGTTAGTTTTGTGTAGTATACGATGATAGTGCCCGGATTTTGACGGCTACATTACTCAGACTCAAAGAGCTTATATTTTAGAAAAGAAAGCGATATAATTATGTCCCTAACGAATTCTTGTCTCATTCTATTTCTACTCCAGGATGGCGCGTAAACTGAATAGCAAATAACATATGCAAGCTTACTTACGGTAACATGTGGGTTGATTTCCACTCCAGGTTGCGTTTGCAAGACATCTTCTCTCTGCAGAACCCCTCAAGAGATAACCTTGATCCTTATTACACCCGAACACAAACAGCGCGTTATAGGTTGTTCCTGTACTCCTTCGAATGAATCCATTTAACGGTGTTGAAAGACTGCCACATGAAACAGCTAATATAAGAAAAAAGCGAAATTAAGGGAATGAACCAAAGAAATATGTTGATATTAATTCCAACCAACAGTTGCATGGTAATGTTAAAACGACTCATCGGGGAATTACATAAACCTGACATCAAAAGCTACACCGAAACTAAAACATTCCAATTCCAATATATGTATGAGAATATGAATAATAATCCAAAAAACAGATCAATTCTGTGTTTTTGCGCTCTTTGAGTTTTGATGTGCGAACTAGTTGAGATCGTAAAGAATTGAACCCCACGATCAAAAAACAGACTCGATTCTATTGATAAAACTTCAATTTTGCTTCAAACAGTCTACAGTAGCTACGCAGTAAAGCATGCAGTTTCAAGAGACTAACCCCTTTACTAATATTTATCACGTTATTAAATAAATAATAAATGAGAAGAAACGCTACCTTGGCAACGGAATTTTGGAACTCTCCAGACACCATTTCGGCACTCCACAAGAGGAATACCCACTAGTTTGTAACCTGATTGGCAGCTGTAGTAGACTTTCTCGCCATTCAAATATTTGCTCTGTGAGCCACGCCCGTGAGTGACGTATGACAATTTGGGGGCTTTAGGAGCATTGCAACTCGGCTCTAAAATAGGAAAAATTGGCGTAAACAAGTTTCAAATAGGCTAAATAAATTTATTACGGAAGAGGTCAGAGTTGTGATTCCGCTAAAGGCTGCGCCGAATATGACTTAGTAAGTAGGTAAGTAACTTTATGTTTTGCATTCCGCCCAAAGCTAGTAGGAGCGTTACTGCGTGGAAATGTTAAAATAGCGGTTATTACATAGTGTTAATTAACTCCCACAAGGACATTTTTAGGTATATAAGCGGCCACGCGGTATTAGACGAGGACAACATCAAGATAGAGCAGAAAATGTAACCATGTTTTTGTGACTGTCTCTATCTCTCTCTCGGAGTCTTAAATGTTTCAAGTGTGTTCAGAGAAATTTACAGTATACCGAATAAACCTGTTGAAAGTGCAAAAAACTGGTTCGTGATACTCTTCTAAGTAGATACGTCATATATCCAATTCACTTAATCTAGCCAGGGTAGCCCATCCAGCAAAGAGACTGGTATCCATAAAGGGGCCCTGGGAAATAAAGATGTATACAATCTAACACTTCGTAAGGTATGTCCATGATCAGCAAAATACCATAAAAATAGATAATAATAATAATAATGATAACAATAATAATAATTTATTCCTATAGCGCCACTTCCAGTGATACCCAATGGCGCTTTACAAGAAATGTTTAAAATATTAAAAATATTGTTTAAAAGAATGTTACGTAGTGAAATTACACTGAAACGAATTAAAAGGAAATAAAATATAGCAAAACTAATTGGGAAAAAACGCTTAAAATACAGACTTAAAATACAGCCGTCCGAGAAAGGTTGTCATTAGAAGGGGTGAAATTATTCATTGCCTGCAGACCGCTCATTTCATGGCAATAAGACAATGTGAGCAAAGGCAAAAGTTCGACACTACAAGGTCGAAATATCTCGCGTAAAACAACTTATAAGCTGAATTGATGATATCTCAAACGTGAACGCTTTAGGCTTTCATATGGGAATCTTTTTCGATTCAGCTCTATTTTCAGAGTCAAAGAAATGAAAAAAGAAAAATAAACAAACAAACAAACAAATGAGGCACCCTGTCATTCAGGTCACCTGAATACAGATTTGACAATACAACAATAACGTGGGGAGCCTTAGACGAAAAGGGCGCGTTATTGAATACTGCAAGAGCTTTTAAAAGGTAGAAAGTATTAAAATCTTTTAAAACGTACGTTACCATAAAACGGAGCTCCATATCATAACTAAATTAACTTTAAAACTTGATCTCTCGTTTCCGTAACGCGTCCAAGCCAAAGAGAATTTGAAGTAAACCAAGTAAAAAGTCAGTCGGTTTCACGACAATCGTCTTGTATATTTTAGTTTGCGCTAAAATTTAGGGTAACAGCGAATAAGCATTGTGATTGGTTAATTCTGCTGAATTTCAGACTTTCTGAAACTGTGCATACTGCTAACTTTGTTCGCTGAGTGATCATGACATTCGCAGGTGAAAACCAGAAGTTACTCTTCCCACAAATTCTAATCATAGAAAAAATATACATATGACGTGCACAGGTGCGCTTTTGAAAGCATTGTTACACTTGTCCTACCCTATAATTCGCACTAGAATACCCTCCCTTCCTTTCTCCTCACCCTACCCCTACTTACCAGTACAGTTAAAAGTGACTGGAGACCACTGACCCGAGACGCATTGCCTCTCCGGAGTACCCACCATGATATATCCTGGTTTACAACTGTAGTAAATGCGTTCACCGTCTTCATACCGTAGTCTAGCATCTCCCAACGTCTGGTAAGCAAACGCTGGAATTTCTGGCATGCCAGTGCACCAGTGTGCTGTTCAACAAAGGATATCAAACACAGCTCTGTGAGAAAACTATACCAGGAAGGTTAGATGAAATATCGGTACACCTTTTGCACTAACAGTGAGGACACAAATACAGGGTGCGAATACATTTTCTTTTTTAAAAAGTCACAGGCAAAGTTTCTGATGTGTCAAGTTTCTTTATTTTAACAACAGCTAAAACTAATTTTAAGCCGGATAGAGATTTTAAGTGTGCAAACGAAGACCCACGTGGCTAAAAAAAGTTGGCACACCTAAACCTGGCCTAATCTCATAATTGAAAAAGTGTATTATCAAAAGTTTTCCTAAACAGAGACAACAAAAAGAACAACAATAACAAACAAACAAACAAACCAAAAGAGAGAGTTATTGAGTACTGATTGGTTTTATTACCAGATTGTAGTATCAGATGAATTGTTGATCTATGACCGAAAACTAAAAACGACATTTTTTTTATTACCAAGACACTGTGGTTGTTGTCCGCTCCATAACCCATTTATGAGGCAGGTTCTCTTTGAAGATCCGACAAGTGTGTAACCAGCTCCACAGTTAAAGAACACGCTATTGGGATGCGTTGTCTTGGCTCCAAAGATCCAGCCGTGTTCAGGAGGCGCCAGCTTTCCACAGTCCCGTCCTACGACATATATTCTATATTTTATGTAAACGCCGGTTATATTTACGTTAAATTTAGATCTCGATTATTTTGTAACGTGCTTAATAAGTCAATTAACTTTTTCTTGGCTGGTTAGCGCGGAGTTATTAAAGTTTCTGAATTGAGGATCAATAGTGATTTAGTGAAAAAGAAACAAGACAAGTAAATAAAATCGAAAAAAAGTCACCGTTTTGTCATACAAAGAGCATCAATAGACCATCAACACCCGCCTAATTTGTTACTTAAATAGTCTTGATATGGACATTACGATGACGCTTTTATTTACTTGTTTCTGAACTGACTGTTACAGAATTGCTTCATACTACCAGTAAGTCGTTTGTAGTGTTTATTATTAAGTTTTAACAAATGCTCTCACGTTTGGCTGACTCGAAATGAACTATTACAATAAAAAAATAATAACTCAGTACCTCGACAGGACATATTCACACTTGACCACTTTCCATTTGCTTGACACATTCGACTAGCTTCACCGTAGAGAAAAAATCCTTCCTTGCAGCTAAATGTTACAACACTTAAGTATTTTGTGGAGTTTCCGTGATATATGGCATACACAGGGACAGTTATGGGACCACAGTCAACCACTAGAGAAAAGAAGACTAGACTAGGATCAAAATACATAAGTGAAATTAACCATTGTGAGTACTAAGATGTGACAAATCCATCTAAACCGCAACTTCTATAAGGGAAGCGAGATCTGGAATTAAGGAAACTGTTTTTGACCATGACGACAGTTGAACCCATGACCTCTAGATTAGATCTTACGGACTGAGTTCTCTGGCGCGGCTCATCGCGTCAGTCTCGAGAGCCCTTTCAAACGTCAGGCAAAGACTAGGAGAATAATAGTTGCCTAGACTTGTAAACGTGACACGGGAACAAGTGTTAATCTTTCAAGTGGGCTGCATACAGCATTTCATCTTCATAGACCTCTACATGTATTGCAAAAACAGAATTCATTGAATGTACAGAGGAGAGGTCATTCTCAAAATGTTCTCCTTATAGCCACGCTCTTTTCAAATCACGTCCTTCTTTATGGACGGTCGAGTATTCTTCAGGATATTTGCTTTTTATATCGCATTCAACGATTTGTTTCTGGATTAATTGAGTACGCGTGTATAAATACGTAAACAAAAATCAAGAGCCTCCATTCAAGAAAAATTACATCATTGCCAAAGAACGAAAACGCGATGAACATGGCGCGTCATTTCAATCATCGCCCAAAAAAACCCGCACGCTCATCACAACTCTCATTTGCGTACAACGAAAGTTTACGGCACCCGACCAGTTAGCCTCACCGTCGAAGTTTTGCGCACCAAGACTCTTCTTTTTTTTTCGACCACTGAAGTATTCAGTTGTTCCAAAGTAATCAACGCTTTCAAGTGATAAAGTTGGTGGACTGTCCCGTTCCGGAAATCTCTTAATCTCTCCTATTAACTTTCTTCACAAAACATATGCATGTCACTCTACGTCACGCCGCGATTCTTATCCCCAGTCTCCACGATCTCCGTTAGGATAGTCGGGACCATGATCCTTCTGGCGTGCACACACGAAAATTTTAAGAGTTTCGCTGCAAAAGCATGCGAGACTAAAAAGGATATATCTTACCAAAAGAAGCTTACAGAACAGTGAAGGGGAAAACCTGCCATTACATTGGTATTATATTTAAGATATCATCATCAAAATAACACGGCCGACTTGACTTTCCATTTTTGAATTTCTATACAGGGAAATCAAGGAGGAGAAGAAGAAGAAGAAGGTGTATAGAAAGTGACATTATTTACTAAAAACAGTATTTAGCAGGAAAACACAATTTTGCAGGAACAAATAACACTGAAGATTATGTCAAATTTGACGTCACTCGCTATATGTCCTTTGTTTTCTTTTGTTGATTTTTTTTGAATACATAATCAAACTAAGACTTTCGTTATAACCCTGTCTATACCTTCGCAGAAAGAGTCCTGTCCACTCCAATTCCCGGTTGACAGACACTGTCTTATTTTCGATCCTCGTAGATTAAAGCCTTCGTCACACATAAATTGCACCTTGTGCGGATATGTAGTTAGATTACCAACTAAAGATCCATTGACTGGAGCTTTAAGAACACCACAATCTTTTACTGTTGAATAAAAAAGCATATTTCTGCAGTTAAGGTAATATGCAACACTTAAACTTAATGTACTTCTAATAATTGTTTTTATGTTCTTGAATTTCCACGAAAAATCCTTGACGTGCGAAGTTGTCTCGGAGTCCACAAGAAGGAGAGCCACTAGGGTTCGACTCTCTACTGAACCTTTATGTTTGTTTGTTTGTTCTTGCTTTTGTCTTTTAATAATTTTTTTTTCGCTTGGCTTGTTTTCTCTTTATTCTTTTCGATTTGTTCCTATAGCGCTGGCGACTTTTCGACTTTTCTTTTTCCAACGCCTGTTATCTACCTACAGCAGTCTGTCAAAATAAATGGGTCTTCGGAGTAAAATCCAGTAAGAAAAAACAAGTTTTTACAAACGTATACATCATAAGGTAAAGAGAGTAGACTGCTTCAATCGTCTACGACACCAAAGATAGCAAGTTAGATAAAGAGACAACAGTGCGTATAATGTTTTTGGATGAAGAGAACAAACAACAGAAATCAAATTAAAAATTTATAAACAATGCGATATCCCGAGAAGTATCCAGAAAGCCGGGCAAATCAGCTCTTTATAGATCTTGTTAAGTCCAAAGATATCTTAAAGATCATAAAAATCATCACGAACAGGAAGCGCTGTTGGGTCACGCCGCTAGCTTCCCATATGAAAAAAAAAGGTTAAAAAGCTTCTCCGGGAAAGGCATTCCTGAGAGAAGTTTTGAAATATAGAATATTACCTACTAGTGTACTTTACCAGTGGGTTGAAACTAATACAGACAGGTCGGCATGCATGGCAGAACTTTAAAATCTCCAGGAATATTTGATAAGATTGACTGTATGACAGCATTTACAAAATATTTCATCTTTAATTTTTCCCTTTTTGTCCACGTCGGGTCTGCATGGGGCATGTGTTTATTTACCTTCACAAGTCGTCTCATAACCATCCCACGTTCCATTAGACTGACATTTTCGCACAGGGGAACCACGAAGAATAAATCCTGGATCACAGCTGAATGTAACAATATTCGGGTATACCGTCATATTACCAGATATAGAGCCGTTCATGGGAGATGATAGACCACCACAGTTTACAGCTACAAGAGTAAAAATAATTCCAACAATTACTCAAATTTTCTCAAAACACTCCTCAAAATTGGTCAAGAGCTCTCTGTTAGACTATCAAACACTTGTCTTACAACTATCTACTTACGATCACATGAACTATCGGTTCCACTCCAATTCCCTGTTGACAGACACTGTCTTATTTTCGATCCTTGCAGCTCAAAGCCTTCGTCACACAAAAATTGCACTTTGTGTGGATATGTAGTCAAATTATCAACTAAACTTCCATTCCTTGGAGCGTTAAGTGCGCCACAATCTTTTGCTGTTGAAAAAATAATATTACTGGTGAAAATTGGTTTAACATTATAAAAAAGACCGGCATACAATACTAGAGCTTACTTTATTTTTATCTCTTTTCGTTGCTTTAGGTCTTTTAGTTCAGTTTAAATGGAATGGAGAAACGCTATCCACTCTTCAGCATGCCCTATTTGCCTGATATTTTAAGCCATGGGGTTTAAGGAGTTCAATGTTCTCCATCCCATTACTTTTAAATGCTGAAATACAGAACCCCATCATTTGATAAATAAATCTATCTAATCATCATTGGACAAACTACTCGTCTACAACCAGTGGCTGCAGAAAACTATTTACTGAGACTGGGTGTCATTATTTTCTCTACCTCGGTGGACAGTTAACAAATTCGATACAAAACTCATTTGTGCAAAAAGAAGAAATAAATTATGCCGTTGATCGACCGTCCGCCCGTGTGTTAGCCATCATGAAATGAAAGTTTACTTTCCAGGAAATACCAAGTTGATATTATGGTAAGGAATTAGGCATTACCGCCCACTGACAAAGAACGTCTTGATTCAACTCAAATAAAAACAAAGGCTATATTCGCTAAAAAAGACACAACGTACCGTTAAAACGTGTACAAGTATAGCTCAAACCGTTTCAGTCTTTTATTGTGTTGATCTATTCACATCTTATTTAAAACTCTCACTGATGACAATTCATTACATTTCAAACATCACAAAAATTAACCTAGCAGAAAAAAAATAACAAACTGAAATGAAAGCAAGGCCAAAAGTAGGTCAGGCAATCGACTTGGAGACTGTCCACTTGAGTTTTTACAAATTGTACCTTCACAAATCGTCTTATAACCATCCCATGTTCCATTAGACTGGCATTTTCGTACTGAGGAACCACGCAGGATAAATCCTGGGTGACAGCTGAATTTGACAATATTCGCGTATACCGTCAAATTACCAGATATAGAGCCGTTCATGGGAGAAGATAGACCACCACAGTTTACAGCTACAAAAGTAAAAGTAATTCCAACAATTACTGAAATGATCTCAAAACAATTCCTAAGGGTTCAGTTGCTTACGATAAATCATATTCTCGCCACATTTCGTTGTACCTTCACAAAAACTTTCGTTTCCACTCCAATCACCAGTGGACTCTGACACTGTCTTATTTTCGATCCTCGCAGATTAAAGCCTTCATCACAGATAAATTGTACCATGTATGGATACGTAGTCAGATTACCAACTAAAGATCCATTGCTTGGCGTTTTAAGACCGCCACAATCTTTCCCTCTTGAAAAAAAAGGCGGATTATATCAAGACGCGCTGCAGTAGATGTGATGCTTGAGACTCTTTGATTTGACTTTTCATTTTTCTTTGGTTGAGAATTCGCGGAAAACTGTTGTCTTCACTAAAAGTTCTACGCAGCTGATACTTTAATCTATTTGAGTTTAAAACTCAACTAACAATACTTTTCTAACAGGTTGGGGAAAAAAGGGTCCCTTCACTCAAATTAATACATTTTCCAATCATTACCTGTTCCTAACCTGCAGCAAATGCAAAAACATTCAATATGACAGCATTTACACAATATTTCATCTTTAATTTTTGCCTTTTTGTCGACGTCGGGTCTGGGGCGTGTGTTTATTTACCTTCACAAGTCGTCTCGTAACCATCCCAAGTTCCATTAGACTGGCACTTTCGTACAGAGGAACCACGTAGATTAAATCCTGGATCACAGCTGAATGTAACAATATTCGGGTATACCGTCAAATTACCAGATATAGAGCCATTCATGGGAGAAGATAGACCACCACAGTTTACAGCTACAAGAGAAAAAAATAATTTCATCAATTACTGAAACTTTCTCAAAACACTTCTCAAAATTAGTCAAAAGCTCTTTGTTTAACAGACTATCAAACACTTGTCTTACAACTATCCACTTACGATCACATAAACTATCGGTTCCACTCCAATTCCCAGTTGACAGACACTGTCTTATTTTCGATCCTTGCAGCTCAAAGCCTTCGTCACACAAAAATTGCACTTTGTGTGGATATGTAGTCAAATTACCAACTAAACTTCCATTGCTTGGAGCGTTAAATGCGCCACAATCTTTTGCTGTTGAAAAAATAATATTACTGGTGAAAATTGGTTAACATTATAAGAAAGACCGGCATACAATACCAGAGCTTACTTTATTTTTATCTTTTTTCGTTGCTTTAGGTCTTTTAGTTCAGTTTAAATGGAATAAAGAAACACCATTCACTCATCAATATGCCCCATTTGCCTGATATTTTAAGTCATGGGGTTTAAGGAGTTCAATGTTCTCCATCCCATTACTTTTAAATGCTGAAATACAGAACCCCATCATTTGATAAATAAATCTATCTAATCATCATTGGACAAACTGCTCGTCTACAACCAGTGGCTGCAGAAAACTATTTACTGAGACTGGGTGTCATTATTTTCTCTACCTCGGTGGACAGTTAACAAATTCGATACAAAACTCATTTGTGCAAAAAGAAGAAATAAATTATGCCATTGATCGACCGTCCGCCCGTGTGTTAGCCATCATGAAATGAAAGTTTACTTTCCAGGAAATACCAAGTTGATATTATGGTAAGGAATTAGGCATTACCGCCCACTGACAAAGAACGTCTTGATTCAACTCAAATAAAAACAAAGGCTATATTCGCTAAAAAAGACACAACGTGCCGTTAAAACGTGTACAAGTATAGCTCAAACCGTTTCAGTCTTTTATTGTGTTGATCTATTCACATCTTATTTAAAACTCTCACTGATGACAATTCATTACATTTCTACATCACAAAAATCAACTCAGCAAAAAAAAATAACAAACTAAAATGAAAGCAAGACCAAAAGTAGGTCAGGCAATCGACTTGGAGACTGTCCACTTGAGTTTTTACAAATTGTACCTTCACAAATCGTCTTATAACCGCCCCATGTTCCATTAGACTGGCACTTTCGTACAGAGGAACCACGTAGAATAAATCCTGGGTCACAGCTGAATGTGACAATATTCGGATATACTGTCAGATTACCAGATACAGAGCCGTTCATGGGAGAAGAAAGACCACCACAGTTTACAGCTACAAAAGTAAAAATAATTCCAACAATTACTAAAATTATCTCAAAGCAATTCCTAAGGGCTCAGTTACTTACGATAAATCACATTCTCGCCACATTTCGTTGTACCTTCACAGAAACTTTCATTTCCACTCCAATTACCAGTGGACAGACACTGTCTTGTTTTTGATCCCAGCAGATTAAAGCCTTCATCACACACAAATTGTACCATGTATGGATACGTAGTCAGATTACCAACTAAAGATCCATTGCTCGGAGATTTAAGACCGCCACAATCTTTGGCTGTTGAAAAAAAAGCGGATTATATCAAGACGTGCTGCAGTAGATGTGATGCCTGAGACTCTTTGATTTGACTTTTCGTTTTTCTTTAGTTGAGAATTCGGGTAAAACTGTTGTCTTCACTAAAAGTTCTACGCAGCTAATACTTTAATCTATTTGAGTTTAAAACTCAACTAACAATACTTTTCTGACAGGTTGGGGAAAAAGGGCTCCTTCACTCAAATTAATACATTTTCCAATCATTACCTGTTCCTACCCTGCAGCAGAAGCAAAATCATTTAAAGGAAATGGGCTTCATGATTCTGTCGGCGTTATGTCAAAAAATTACAGAATGCATTGAAACAATATGCCGTTTATCGACTGTCCCCCTCCCCGCGCGTTGATTATTGCAGTGCCATTTCAAAGAACAGAACAAAGTATTGTAAGAATGAAGAAGATCTTGCAAAGTTCAGCAAAAATCTCCAGAAATCGAAAAAATCCCAAGTAACTCAGACTAAGAAAAAATATTTCCTCGAAAGCTTGAGACAGAAGGCAAAGCTTTCACAGGGGTGGCCCTATAACATTAAGAATCTGTCCTCTGGACGCTTAGCACATTGTACCTTCACACACCGTCTCATAACCATCCCATGTTCCATTAGACTGGCACTTTCTTACAGAGGAACCACGTAGAATAAAACCTTGGTCACAGCTGAATGTGACAATATTCGGGTATACTGTCAGATTACCAGATATAGAGCCGTTCAAGGGAGAATATGCACCGCCACAGTTTACAGCTAAAAGGGTAAAAAAGATATTCCAGTAATAACCAAAGCTTTCTCAGAACACCTCTCCAAATTGTTCAAGAGCTGTTTGTTAGATGTATCAAACAATTGCCTCACAACTATCTACTTACGATCACAGGTTGTACCGTTTCCACTCCAACTCCCGGTTGACAGACACTGTCTTATTTTCGATCCTCGCAGAATAAAGCCCTCATCACACATAAACTGCACCTTGTTCGGAAATGTAGTCAGATTACCAATTAAAGATCCATTGCTTGGAGTTTTAAGAGCGCCGCAATCTTTTACTAATGAAAGAATGTAGATTATATCAAGTTAAGATCACACGCAAGACGTGCTGCGGTAGATGATGTCTGAGACTCTTTCAATTCTTACTTAAAACTCCAACAAAGAACATTTCAATATATTACAAACAAAACAAAAACAAACGGAACAAAAATAAAATGTGCGCAAGGCCAAAAGTAGGGCGTGCAATCCAACTGAAGACTGTCCCCTGGATTATTTAAAAATTGTACCTTCGCAAATCGTTTCATAACCATCCCATGTTCCATTAGTCTGGCACTTTCGTAAAAAGGAACCACGTAGAATAAATCCTCGGTCACAGCTGAATGTGACAATATTCGGGTATACTGTCAGATTACCAGATATAGAGCCGTTCATGGGAGAAGATAGACCACCACAGTTTACAGCTACAATAGTAAAAATAAATCCAACGATTACCAAAACTATCTCAAAACAAATCTCAAGGGATGTTGTGTACAATCCATCAAATTCACGACATATTTCTTCGTACCTTCACAGAAACTTTCGTTTCCACTCCAATTTCCAGTTGAAAGACACTGTCTTATTTTTGATCCTCTCAGATTAAAGCCTTCATCACAGATAAATTTCACCTTGTGTGGATATGTAGTCAGACTGCCAACTAAAGATCCATTGCTTGGAGTTTTAAGAGGGCTGCAATCTTCCGCTTTGAAACAATGTACATTATTTCAAGTTAGGATCATACCCGAGACGTGCAGATGATGTGATGTCTGAGAGTGTTTGGCTTAACGTTTCTTTATTTTTTGGTTGAGACACGGAGATATTGCAAAATATTTTAGGAAAATCTCTACGAATGGGAAAAGCTCCCAATTAACATAGACTAAGAATTATATTTTCGTCAAAGCTTGAGTCAGATAGCAAAGATATTGCAAGCATAGTATTATAACATTTACAAGAATCTGTCCTCTGGAGGCCTTACGCATTGTACCTTGGCAAACCGTCTCATTACCATCCCATGTTCCATTAGACTGGCACTTTCGTATAGAGGAACCACGTAGAATAAATCCTCGGTCACAGCTGAATGTGACAATGTTCGGGTATACCGTCAGATTACCAGATATAGAGCCGTTCGTGGGAGAATATACACCGCCACAGTTTACAGCTAAAAAGTAATAATAATTCCAACAATTACCAAAACTTTCTCAAAACACCTCTCCAAATTGGTCAAAAGCTGTTTGTTAGAAGTATCAAACAATTGCCTCACAACTATCTATACTTACGATCACAGGAAGTGCCGTTTCCACTCCAACTGCCAGTTGACAGACACTGTCTTATTTTTGATCCTCGCAGAATAAAGCCTTCATCACACATAAACTGCACCTTGTTCGGAAATGTAGTCAGATTGCCCATTAGAGATCCATTGCTTGGAGTTTTAAGAGCGCCGCAGTCTTTTGCTGTTGAAAGAATGTATATTATATCAAGTTAAGATCACACGCAAGACGTGCTGCAGTAGATGATGTCTGAGACTCTTTCAATTCTTACTTAAAACTCCAACAAAGAACATTCCAATAAAAGACTGTCCCCCGAATTATTTAAAAATTGCACCTTCGCAAATCGTCTTATAACCGTCCCATGTTCCATTAGACTGGCATTTTCGTACTGAGGAACCACGTAGAATAAATCCTGGGTCACAGCTGAATGTGACAATATTCGGATATACTGTCAGATTACCAGATACAGAGCCGTTCATGGGAGAAGAAAGACCACCACAGTTTACAGCTACAAAAGTAAAAATAATTCCAACAATTACTAAAATTATCTCAAAGCAATTCCTAAGGGCTCAGTTACTTACGATAAATCACATTCTCGCCACATTTCGTTGTACCTTCGCAGAAACTTTCCTTTCCGCTCCAATTCCCAGTTGACAGACACTGTCTTGTTTTCGATCCTCGCAGATTAAAGCCTTCATCACACATAAATTGCAGCTTGTGAGGATATGTGGTCAGATTGCCAGCTAAAGATCCATTGCTTGGAGTTTTAACATCACCGCAATCTTTTGCTGTTGAAAAAAATGTGGATAATAAGATAACATCAAACCAAGAGGTACAGTAGGTAAGTTGACTAGGAATGTTTGTTTGTGGCTTGCCTTTTTTGTTTGCCTTCGTTGTCTTCACTCAGAGCTCTATTCAGCCGATAATTTACCTTTGAGGTTAGGGTTAGAAAAAGAGGTTGGAAAAAGAGTACCTTTACTCCTATACATTTCTCAATTATCACAAAACTACCTTCCTTCAGCATCGTTCGGTGGACATGGGTGTCATACTTGTATTTCTTTGATGTCGACAATTAAAGAATGTGAAGTTATGAATATATGATAATCATATACGTGAACTGCCGGGTGAAGAATTAAATGAAAGATGATCATCGCAGTTATAGACCCAACTTGTGCAGTTAGGGAAAAAAAGCCAGAAAAAAATTGAGGCTTGTACTGGAGCCTGAGTTTTTTTCAGGCTTTCTTTTCGCAACCTTACAAGTTGCGTCCATAACTGAGATGATAATCTTTCTAATAATCAAAGAATGTACTATCACGTTTACTGTTGTCAACTCTACTTCTACAATCAACATGGGTGCTCTCAACTCAAGGAGCACATGCTACATCACGTGACCCAATTACCATACATGACACCTCCCCATTGAAATAAATAGAACGGCACAGGGGACAAACAATGAAAGTGCTGAGCAACAGTTTATGTCAATATTTGTACAAAACCTAAAAAATATATATATATATAAATCAAGCCTGTCAGGAGGCTTGACAGTTAGGCCATTCCTGGTGACTTGTAAGCTCGTTCCAGGAGACAAGGAAGGGAAGAAAGCTCTGAGACTGCCCCAGGCTGCTGTTGGTCACAAGGAGGTTTCACTGTTGTGCGTTCAGAAGTTACTGTCGCTGATGGCGCACATTCTTCTTCACTCTCCAATGATGAGCTAGCTTCAGGTTCTTTCATTAGGTGGCGCCTGTTTCTACGCAGAGTGTTCCCGAGTGAGCGATACACTATTTATAAGTTACAACTGCTGGTGCTCAGGAGCCATTTTCGTTCTCTCCTGATCTCTCTTCCAGTAAACCTTTTAATGGCCTCGCATGGTGATCATAGTAGTTTCTTGTGCAGCCAATACTTTCTCACGTGCATCCAACTCCACCCTTGGCTAAAGAAGCTCGCAGTGGTGGGTAATTCGGACTTAAGTCTTCGACTGTCTAACATATGTGGGGGTGAAAGGCCAATAACACTGACAGAGGTATTTCGTTACTCTAATAGGGCGATATAGGGATTCTCCTCTTTCATTAAGAGTTACTTGATAGTTCCTATCGTTCTCTCGCTCATTTCGTTAGACTGGGGATAGCGCGAACTAAAGGTAGTAATTCTAAATCCCCATGAAGATACAAAATTTTGCAGTTTACGGCTTTCAAATGCAATAGTGTTTGCGTCAATTCATCAGGTACTCCATGTTGGGCAGAAATTGACTTTAAATGAGTTATTACCGAAGAGGCTATCTTGGTTTGAAGTAGGCTGATTTCAGGAAACTTGGAGAAATAATCCACAAGACAAAGGTAAGTTTGTCCCCTAAACTCAAACAAATCTGCTCCAAGCTTTTGCCATGGACTAATAGGAACTTCGTGATTAATAAGGGGCTCCTTCTGATTATTTATACGCCACTCGCTGTATTCTCAATGTCTCCTGCCATACTAGGTCAGTACATCACTTCACGTGCACGTGCTTTGCTTTGTTCTGCTACTTGATGACTCCCATCTACCAGGTTCAGCATATCCTTCCAGAGCCTTGGTGGGAATGTCTATTTCTCTCCCAGAGACGTAAGGCCCTCTCCTTTATACTCTTGATCTTGGACATTCGCGTAGGGTCGCACCTCCTCAGGGACTCTTCTCCAGTCTCAGTTGCTGCAAAAGTTGGAGGCCTCTGAGGTGGCTATTTGCATCTGTGACTTAGAGGCAAACTCTTCACAAGGCTGTGCGGCCGAATTTCCATATCTGACTGTAGATCTTCATCAGGAGACTCATTGAACAGGTTAACACCGGATAATGCATGTTTAACAGGAATATTTGGCCAGGTCTGTACGTGATATCTCGGGAATACCTCTGGAGTCTCAAACCATCTTATGAAGCCTTGGTGATATCCGGTTGAGATTTTTCTTCGTGAGTGCTAGCTCCTAATGGATCATGATCTTTAACAACTTTGACTGGCTGCCTATAGACATACTGGTGGAACTTTTCACATGCAAAAACAATAGCCTTAAGTTCTTTTCTATTTGTGCATAGGTCTGTTCAGAAGTACTAAGGATTTTGAATCATACGCTACAGGGGGATACTCCTGAAGCAAAAAAGCACATAAGTCATCCTTTTAAATACTGGTTTCAATCACAACTTCTTTGTGAACATCAAAGAGTTTTAAGACGGGTGCAGTAGTTAGCAAGCGTTTTATATCCTGAAGTTCTACGGCAGTGCCATTCTTTCATTTTTGCGGAGAGTTACAAAGGGAACTCTCTTCCCCCAAAAGGATGAGTGCCAAAACCCATCCTTTTCACCGAGTATAAAGAACACACTTTTACCAGCCAACTTTGAAGCAGTGTCTTAAGAGCGGATGTCAGTAAATATCGACCAGAGGTCTACAAAAGGGAAAAATCGAAGATCCTCAAAAAATTCACAAAGTAGCACTAGGTAAGCTATTAACATAAATGTAATTTTTACTCCGATCCGAGAATTATTTTTCACGTACGGGGGGGTTATTAGTTTCGCGGCTCTCGGACCGGGTTTTCCAGGCCCGAGACCATGTGTCGCAAAAAAATCGTTTTAAAATTCAAATCCATTGTAATGCGGACAACAAATAACTTATTCAGAAGAGTACTTAATTGCACACATTCTAAGTGGTGATTTACTCAGTTTGAACGAAAGTGTAATATTTTGGAGATTTTTCATTATTTTCAATATTTTGAACGTTTTCGTTCAATGAAAAAATGGCAAATTTCAAAGCCCAAAATCGTCGACTGGTACCTCGATTTCAGTAACGAGTCTTATACCACGTTAAAGAGCGTTATCTCTTCTTTCAAAATCTGTTTTCAAAACTACGGGCAACTTAAAAGAAAATGTTTGAGGCCAAAAAATACTAGTAGTACTTTTCTGAAATTTGAGCTTTCCAGACTCAGCGGGTCGATGCTAAAAACTCAGAAAAATGCAATAAGAAATCAGTTTGAGCAACAGTGATTTAACGTTATCAGCTATCAGAAACCAACACGTGTTTATCGAGCGATCTGATAAAATTTAAAGCCGTTTTCCAACAAGAAAAGCAGAGTTTAGCCATCTTCTGCTACCAAACGCACGAGTGACGTAAGGTTGTCAAAGGGCAAAGCACAATAATAAACTTCAAAAAGCACAACGTTTCTGCGTCCAGGAATTAGACTTTAGCGGACAGAACAATGCCTACGAGTGTATGTTTCATACCTTAGCATGGGTTTCCTAGATACTGGAAATAAAAAACATCAAGGACAGCATCGGCAAGAGCATCTTCGGCTGCTCTCAAACGACGGAGATTGCGTTACTTTTCACAGATTGACCGCTTACCACCTGTTTTTGGGCTCGCATTTCGACGGAACGCTTGCCTCGAGAGGCGCGCGGCACGGATCTGAACTCTTCTTCACGAGACATTGAGCTGAATTTATCGGAAATATGCCACCACCACCAACAACATGAGCTTTTTTCGGGTATTTGTCGTTTTTTATGCGAAAAGTTCGGGTAAGCAGATTCTCGCAAAAACCATTTGGCTTAAAAAATGTGTTTAAAAGCCCACCCTGGATTTGAAGCAAAAAGTATTTCCTCGAAATAAGCTAAAAATACCCAATTCACGCGGTGAAAAAATGGATGATTATGGAAGGATTATCGAATTCTTGCCTAACCTGAGGGATTTCCCGTGATGTAGGATTAGGGCTAGGAAAAAAGCCCATAACCTGCTCCTGTCGTTGTGAATTTCCTCAAGATCAAAAATTTCAGTAAGAACCGAAAACAACAGCTTAAAGGAGGTGCACACACCTTGAACTAGCCAGGGAAAAGGGGCTTCTGATTGAGCTAAACTGTCATTGATGCACGGTGCAATTAGGTAGACCTGTTACTATCCCCCGCGCAACCACATGGGGAGTACTTTGAAGCGGTCCTGTCGGGGACTTTCGGGGGTAGGGGGCGGGGCAAATCGAAAATAACTTCTCTTTGTTTTTGTGAAGTACATCATTTCTCGCACGGTTGACAAGGTGACGGCGGACTCCGTACCTTTGGAAAGGCCCTTTTGAAACATGTCCTGGCAACATGCAGGGCATCACGAAATTAACGTCAACACCTTGAATCAACTCCATGAACAGGGAGAGGCGATAAGTCCCATCTTAAAAGATGCTTGATGTCTAGACGTGAATAGTCTGTCCACAGTCATTTTTCATTTTGTATTTCGGGACCATTTGACAGCGTACGAGTGAACCGGAGCGCAGTAACGAGCCCTAACCCCACCCCATTGCCCTTGCGGTCAATAAATCATCGCGTTTTTCATTTTTTTTATGCGCGTTCGAGAACCTCCAAAGGGAATATTGAGGGTCTTTGTACAGTTTCAGTTTATTTTACCGACAAAAAAGAACAAAACAAAGCAAAAGACAAGTATACAGAAACACGCAGAAGCAATGTGGTGAGGAAGCCCAAAAAGAAACCATAAGGCTTAAGTCATCCCCTTTTCGTTCGCTTAGCGTCGAATAGGTTTCCTGGTTTTGGGTGGGTCGGTCGGTGGGGTGAAAAAAAAAATCACAAGAAATCTGAGAACGGGAGGCCTGAAACACCAGCATCATTGCCGTGGAGACTGAAAACAACAAGACATGGTCACCAAATCGACACAAACTCAATATGGCGGAAAATTTGATGGTCAATTTCATAAAAAAAAGGCCCAAAAAGGGTAAAAAGCAAAGAGGATACACCACCGAACGTTTTATGCCTCGAAATGATGTTATAATGCTAATTTTTTAGATTAAAAGAATTAATCTAAGTCCAAAAAAAATAAACCTTGTCGTTTCTTTTTCTTGCTTTTTTAAAAAATGCCAAAAAACTGGGTCTTTTGGACGACACTAAACGAAGAAAAAATTAATATAGGTATTAAGCTCCCTTAAAGTATAAAAGTATAAGTTTACAAGGACAGGATCGAACGTATACTGAGTAACTAAATGATAAAAATTTGATCAAAATTAAATGAAAGGCTAAGAGCCTAAGCGCTGTCTGATAACGAAACGGTAAACAAGAAGTGCTGCCTCTCATTTAAAAGAGACGTGAAATACTGGGTGGACCACATCCTGAACTCCCGCGAAAACCGCAAGAGAGGAACGCTCAGGGCTAAGGAGACTAAACAGGGGCGTAGCTACTTGTACGCACGGTTTGCACGTGCGTACCCGAAAACGTTGAGGAAAAAAATAGAATGAAATAAACATAACTAAAAAAAATCGGTTTCCAGAGAAGCGACGACATTAATTGGAGAACCGAATCTTGGATGATTTATTTATATAGCAAGCTTGATGATGTAAAGCGTGAACGCGTTGTTTTCTCCACGACCTGTCTTCGGAGTAGACGAAGTAGGGCACAATTACGTCAATGTGTGGTGCTTTTGTCGGTCAAAAATAATGTGACAAAAAGGGGTAAAAAGAGTCATTTGTAAACTAAAGTCGGAGGTACTACAAGCTTGATTTTTAATAGCTGAATTAATGATAAACGGTTGACGTCAATGAACATAACAAGCCGACAGAATTAAAGAATTTTAGAGGTTGTGTCATTTCATAAACAGCAAAAATGCTTTTGCTTACAACCGTTAACCCCACCTTTAATAAAGGCACCTTAAAAAAATGTTGAGATTTGGGGTGGGGGGGGGGGGGGGGGGAAGAAGATGTAGAAAAAGTTGGGCGTACCTCCGGAAAAATCCTGACTACGCACCTGCTAAAGCCTGAAACTGAACAACAGGAGTCTTGACGAAACGTCCTCAGTTATCACCTGTCCGGGGTCGTACTTTCAAGGAAACGCTGATCAAGAATCACTCATGACGGAATGAAAACTCCTCGTAGCTTCCAGCGAAAAAAGGAGTGACAACAGTGGTAAGCGGTCGTTCTGTGAAATGTAACGCAATCTTTGCCGTTTACGATCTTTCGGCGCTTGGATTTGAAACGTTGTTGTTTGGTATGTTCTCCCGTGTGGATACTTGACATTTCCAATATATGGAAACACCATGCTAAGGTACGAACAACAGACATTCACAACATTGTTTTGTACGCTAAAATCTGATTTCATGGACGTAAAACGTTTTGAATTTTAAGACTTTTTAATATTAGTGCTTTGCCCTCGCTTTGACAACTTCACGTGACTGGTGCACTTGGCAGGAGTTGACAGCTTGAATCTGCCTTTCTTGATAGCAAACGGCATTAATTTATATCAGATCGCTGTACAAACACGTCTTGGTTTCTGAAAGCTGATAACATGAAACCACTATTGCTCAAACTGATTTCTTACTGTATTTTTCCAAGTTTTTAGCATCGGCCCGCCGCGTCTGGAAAGCTCAAATTTCAGAAAAGTACTACTGGTATTTTTTGGCCTCAAACATTTTCTTTTAAGTTGCCCGTGGTTTTGAAAACAGATTTTGAAAGAAGAGATAACGCTCTTTAACGTGGTATAAGACTCGTTACTGAAATCGAGGTACCAGTCGACGATTTTGGGTTTTGAAATTTGCCATTTTTTCATTGAACGAAAACGTTCAAAATATTGAAAATAATGAAAAATCTCCAAAATATTACACTTTCGTTCAAACTGAGTAAATCACCACTTAGAATGTGTGCAATTAAGTACTCTTCTGAATAATTATTTGTTGTCCACATTACGATGGATTTGAATTTTAAAACGATTTTTTTGTGACACATGGTCTCGGGCCTGGAAAACCCGGTCCGAGAGCCGCGAAACCAATAACTCCCCAGTACGTGGAAAATAATTATCGGATCAGAGTAAAAATTACATTTATGTTAATAGCTTACCTAGTGCTACTTTGTGAATTTTTTTGAGAATTTTCGATTTTTCACTTTTGTAGACCTCTGGTCGATATTTACTGACATCTGCTCTTAAGCTGTTGGGATCCTCTAGTGTTCACGTTTGATGACTTTATTTAGGTCTCGGGTATCCAAACAAAGGCGGAGGTTACCATCTTTCTTTTTAGCCATCACAAGACTATTCACCCAGTCAGTTGGTCTGTCCATACAGGTAATGACACGATTTTCTTTCCCAAGACAATAACTGAATGGAACCAACTCCAGAAAGAAACTGTTACCAGTCAATCATTAGCAGCTTATACTAGTTTTCATTTGTAATTTTAGCTTTCATTATCATATTTAGTGTTTTAGAGTTCGCTTGATGTCCCTCTTAGATGTCGCCGACAAAACCATATTTAGATTTAGATACGTTTCGGCTCCGGTGTCCAACGTAAAGTTAACAATATCTCCAGCAACTTCCATTTTACGGTACCAGGCCTCTGTATCCAACAAATCTACCTCCAACTCTCCAACAAAAAGTTCAAAATCTGGGCATGGCAAAGGGACAACTGTGTGTATCTTCCTGCTTTCCTGGCTGCACATTTCCGCAAAATGATTTCTTCCATCAGGGGATAGGGCATTGTCTTGGAAGATGTTTAGTACCATACCTTGAGCAATTAAAGGGAGAACCATCAGAGTTTGGCTTTGCTTTTTGTTGTTTGGGATCAGTCGACACGACTGATCTCCAACAAAAAGCTCAAAATCTGGGCATGGCAAAGGGACAACTGTGTGTATCTTCCTGCTGTCCTGGCTGCACATTTCCGCAAAATGATTTCTTCCATCAGGGGATAGGGCATTGTCTTGGAAGATGTTTAGTACCATACCTTAAGCAATTAAAGGGAGAACCATCAGAGTTTGGCTTTGCTTTTTGTTGTTTGGGATCAGTCGACACGACCAGAACTTCCTTTTCTTCCGGGGGGTGTCTTATTTCCTTTAGCTTGGCGTTAGTTACTTCAGCTGAAAGGTAGTGAGACAAGGCTTTCTCAAGCGTCAACTTTTCGACATCTATGCGCGAAAGTTGGCCCTGAACTTTAGCATCTCTTATTCCAAACACTACATGATCTCGAACTATAGTATCAGTCGAAGGGGTGTACTCACAATTTTTAATCATCCTCTTGAGTACTGTGACAAAGTGATTAACTGTTTCACCTCCTTGTTGACTCCGATTCCAGAACCTGAATCGTTCAAACGAAGTGTTTTTCCGAGGACTACGATAATCTTCGAATTTCTTCAGCACCAAGTTAAGCTTCTTTTTATCCTCGTCGGTTCCAAATTCAAAGGTGTTACAGACTTCCGGGCCGTTTTCCCAATGCAATGCAAAAAGTCGCCACTGCCGTTCTCCATCTTTCTGCTCGGCTTAGGTCGCTTTCAAACACAGTTCAAATCATTGCCTCCAACGCTTCCAATTCTGGTTTAAATTTCCTTCCAAACATAAAGGACCCGGGGGCTTAAATTGTTCCATAGATTCTCCCTTAACTGCTGCCAGCTTATCACATTTATTGTTGTCAACTCCACTTCTGCAACCACCATAGCGGCTCTCAACTCAACGAGCACATGCTAAATCACGTGACCTAAACTACACGTGACATTCATTAAAGCAATCAATCTCAGCAAACCGCGCAAAACAATATGTCGTTTATCGACTGACGCCCGCACGTATATAATTCCAGTGCAACTATTGATTGCAATGGAAAGATGTATGTATGTATGTATGTATGTATGTAAATCTTTATTTAAACACGGGAAATCATCAGTTAAGCTTAAGTTAAAAACTAAAACTAATTACAACTGCTTTACATGATTGCCGTGTGGGAATCCGATATATCAGCTACCTTCTTGATATTTCGCTTAAAATGCTCAACGGATGCAGCGTTTTTTAAGTTTTTGGGCAAGTTATTCCATAACATGGCCCCGCTGTAAGAGAAGCTTCGTTTCAAATAATTGGTGTTTGGTTTGGACAGGGTCAGCCTTCCCTCAGAGTTTCTTAAGTTGTAAGCAGAGTGACGCTGAGAGAAAAGACTTTGTAGATATTTTGGAGCAAGGTCATGTATGGTTTTATACATCATTAAGGCTTTTTGTTTCTTTCGTCGAAGAGATAGCCTCTCCCAGCTGAGGGTGGAGAGAAGGTGGTTTGAGCTCGCATCAAAGGGTGATTTAGTAATAACTCTGGCTGCACGATTCTGTAATTTTTGGAGCTTATCACTCAAGTAACCACTCAAACAGTCCCAGACGGGGCTGCAGTAATCAAAATGAGGCATAATTAAAGCGTTATAAATTTGAATTGCAGTTTCTTTGGATATAAAGGGCCGCACACGTTTTAGGGCGCCTATAGCTGAAGAGACTTTCTTGCAAATCTCTTCAACGTGTTTACCCCAAGAGAGTTGAGCATCTATGGTAAGACCCAAGGATTTGGTATGATCGACTCTCTTGATAATTTGGTCATCAATTTTGATTTCTACATCGTCACATTGGGCAGATAGTCTTTGTCTTGATCCAATAATCATTAGCTCTGTTTTAGCAACATTTAGACTGAGCTTGTTAGCTTTCAGCCAACAGCTAAGGTTATTTAATTCAGGGGTTAGAGCTAGCTTAAGCTCTGTTAACGTCTTAGCAGATAACGTAAGGTTGGTGTCATCGGCAAACATTCTTGGTACGGCGCCCCGCAGGGAGTTGGGAAGATCATTAATGTAAATTAGAAATAGCAAAGGACCCAATATGCTACCCTGCGGCACGCCGCAACTGAGGGTACGAGCAGATGATAGTTTGCCACTGACATTACATCTTTGGGTTCGGCCACTTAAGTACGACGAGAACCATTTTATAGCTGCCTGATCGACACCCAAGTACGACATCTTACGCAAGATAATCTCATGATCAATGGTGTCGAATGCCTTAGTAAGGCCAATAAAGACAACGCCATTTAGAAGGCCATTGTCGATGTTTACTGACCAAGCATTTGTTGCCTCAAGCAAAGCCGTGAGCGTACTATGTAGAGAACGGATGAAACTGCTACAACAGTCGTGAAACTATAGCCAAAGAAGATTGGAAACAAAAACGTCTCGACGAATCCTGTTAACTTCGATTAAGTAAGGGTACGAATTTATATTTTCTCTAAGGCTTGAGACAGACGGAAACGCTTTTGCAGAGGTGGCCTTGTAACATTTAAAGGAATCTGCACACAATAAGGCATTTTACCTTCGAAAACTGCCATCACAGGTTGATTTACACAGTATGTCTAACAAAATCAGTTGACTCCCAGTTCATTGAAACAACTAGTTGGCGGAAATTAAGCTCCAGTAATTGTGACCAAAACTAGTGGCAATTAAAACAACAAGCAGAAAAGAGCCAAATGACATCAACTAATTAAAGACAGAAGGGAGTTAACGCTGTAACTATCGATTAAAACCTGAGAGCATTTCCCAAATTCTCATCTTGTATTTTAGCATTTTTCTCCACTTCGTGTCTAAGCTGTGTGTATACAGTCGAACTTCCTCTAATGGCCACCTCTCCACAACGGCCAACTCTCTACAACGGTCACTTTTTTTTTTGTCCAGGCGGACAGACCAAACATTGCCTCTTGTTTGAATCTCTCTACAACGGCAACGGCCATAAAAGCGTGTCCCCAACTGCCAAAATAACCTCTCAACAACAGCCGGTTTTTTCAGCGACTGATGAAAAGCCAAGAATGGTCATGATATTTGATCCGTATGGCCTATGGATGATTAATCGAGGCAAACCTCCCCATAACGGCAACCTCTTCACAGAGGCCACTTTTGTCTGTCCCCAAGGAGGCCGTTGTGGACTGTACTCACCTTGGCAAACCGTCCCATAGCCATCCCATGTTCCATTGGACTGACACTTTCGTACCGAGGAACCACGAAGAATATATCCTGGGTCACAGCTGAATTTGACAATATTCGGATATACCGTCAGATTACCAGATATAGAGCCATTCATGGGAGATGATAGACCACCACAGTTAACAGCTACAAAAGTAATAGTAATTCCAACAATTACCAACACTTTCTCAAAACACCTCTCAAAATTGGTCAAGAGCTCTTTGTTAGATTATCAAACACTTGTCTCACAACTATCTACTTACGATCACATAAAGTATCGTTTCCACTCCAACTCCCAGTTGACAGACACTGTCTTATTTTCGATCCTCGCAGATGAAAACCCTCGTCACACATGAATTGCACCTTGTGTGGATATGTAGTCAGATTGCCAGCTAAAGATCCATTGCTTGGAGCGTTAAGTGCACTACAATCTTTTGCTGTTGAAAGAGAATAATGATACGAAAAAAATCTGTTAAGATTATAAGAAAGACAAGAAATGCATGAGCTGATATTATTTTTAGTTCCCGTTTATTGTTTGATTTCTTTAAATTCTGCTTAAAGGAAAACAGCGCAGAAACACCATCCACTCCTCACCATGTCCCATTTGCCTGATATTTTCAGCGATGGGTTTTATCAAGTTAAATGTTATCGAAACTATCACATTTTCGGATGCTGAGATACACAACTCTACATTCAAATCAACGCATTAATCCATTATTGCATAACTGCGCTACTCGTCCTCAACCTGTGGTTGCAGAAACATCAAAACCAGAAATTGGTGCTGGGTGTCACTACTTTATCCACTAAGGTGGACACTGATTTTACAAAATTCTATGATTTAAATATCCTTTGTGCAAGAAGAGGAAAGAAATTCAGCCGTTAGATCGACCGTCCGCCTGGCGTTAACACATCAAACAACGTTTACTTCCAGAAAAGACCAAATTGATGTTATGGTAAAAAATTAGGCATTCCCACAGACGACAAAGAACGTCAACATTAAACTCAAATAAAAATGTATTTATTAAAACACGATAAAGTTTTACAGGTTACTGTTTTCCTCACAAATAGCTGTTAACTTAATGTAAACAAGGTCAAAAGTAGGCCACCCAATCGACTTGGAGAGTGCGCACTAGATTTTTTACAAATTGTACCTTCGCAAACCGTCTTATAACCATCCCATGTTCCATTAGACTGGCACTTTCGTATAGAGGAACCGCTTAGAATAAATCCTGGGTCACAGCTGAATGTGACAATATTCGGGTATACCGTCAGGTTACCAGATATAGAGCCGTTCATGGGAGAAGATAGACCACCACAGTTTACAGCTACAAAAGTAAAAATAATTGCAACAATTGCTAAAACACTGTCAAAACAACTCCAAAGAGCTGTTTCTTGCAATCAATCACATTCTCGCTGTATTTGAGAATATTTCTTCGTACCTTTACAGAAACTTGCGTTTCCACTCCAATTCCCAGTTGAAAGACACTCTCTTATTTTCGATCCTCGTAGAGTAAAGCCTTCATCACACATAAATTGCACCTTGTTCGGATATGTAGTCAGATTACCAACAAAAGATCCATTACTTGGAGTTTTAAGAGGGCCGCAATCTTTTGCTGTTGAAAAAAAAGGTGGATAATATCAGCTTTGGATCATACGCACTGAAGACGTTTAAGAACAATTAAAGACTGTTTGACTAGAATGTTCTCTCTTCAATCTGTTTCACAGTCTTAGGCATTTTACCTTCACAAATCGTCTCGTAACCATCCCATGTTCCATTAGACTGGCACTTTCGTACAGAGGAACCACGCAGAATAAATCCTGCGTCACAGCTGAATGTGACAATATTCGGGTATACCGTCAGATTACCAGATATAGAGCCGTTCATGGGAGAAGATAGACCACCACAGTTAACAGCTACAATAGTAAAAATAAATCCAACAATTACTAAAACTTTCTCAAAACACTTGTCATGGGCGTTGCTTAAAATCAATCATCATTCATCAATCACATTCTCGACATATTTCGTCGTACCTTCACAGAAACTTTCGTTTCCGCTCCAATTCCCAGTTGACAGACACTGTCTTATTTTCGATCCTCGCAGAATAAAGCCTTCATCACACATAACTTGCACCTTGTGTGGATAGGTGGTTAGATTGCCAACTAAAGATCCATTGCTTGTAGTTGTAAGGGTTCCGCAATCTTTTGCTTTTGAAAAAAAGCGGATAATATTAAGTTGGGATCATACCCAAGACGTTTATATGCTGCAAAAGAC